TTAGAAGATTAACCAGAGATCCAAACAGAGAAGCTCTCAGTGGAGAAATTATGAAATGAAATAATTTTTAAAGATGCACACATAGGGGACGCCTAGGTGGCTCAGTCAGTTAAGTGGCTGCCTTCGACCCGGGTCATGATCCCAGGGTCCTGGGATCGAGTCCCACATTGGGCTTCTTGCTCAGCGGGGAGCCTGCTTCTCCCTCTCTCTCCTTCTGCTTGTGCTCTCTCTGTCAAATAAATAAAATCTAAAAGAAAAAAAAAAAGATGCACACACAGTGTTGGGCTTTGGGAAAATAACTTAGACCAGACAACACTGCTATGAAAATCAAGCTTTGCCTTCCAAAGCATGAAGTCAAAGGCATGCCTGGACCTAGAACACTCCAGAAGACCTCTTCCTCCCCTACGCTCACCTTGCCTCATGCCATCTTGCAGTGACATCTGCACCACTCAGCATCTTCTCATTTCTTTTGAGACTGTGAGGACAGATTCCCCAGGGATGTAACTTGGACCAATCTCACTAGAGGTGTGTCTATTTCTTAGACTTTTCAAAAAACCAATGTTTGCCTTTATTGATCCTCTCTATTCTTCATTTGTTTTATATTTTATTAATTTATGCACTGATCTTTATTGCCTATTTCCCATGGGTTCATCCTGTTGTTGTTTTTAATTTTTTCTTTGAGTAGAGCTGACACACAATGTTACATTAGCTTCAGGTGTGCAACACAGTGATTCAACGTCCCTATACCCTGTTGTTCTTTTTCTACTTTAAATTGGAGATTCTGCACATTCATTTTCAGACTTCCTCCTTTTCTAATATAAGAATTTGGACCTATACATTTTTCTCACTTTCCATGTATCCCATAATTATGACATTTAGAATTTCAGTATCATTCAGTACCAAGTATTACTGAATTTCAGTAGGGTTTCTTCTTTGACGGAAGTTGTTTAAAATGTGATCATATATTATGAAACACGTGGTAATTTCTAAAATTCATCTTTTCTTCTTGTTTTCTGCCCTGTGCATGCAAAGCTCAAGACTTGTATCAACTCATGCACAGAATTCTCTTCCCCAGTTCTGTCCTCTGTAGGATTCCCTACCTTTTTTCAGCTCGCAAACCCCCACTCTCCATCTCCTGTCTAGAAAGACAGGATTTCCCTCTGAATGCTAGCCACTTGTGCTCTGCGTGGTTGCACACACTCAGGTCACTCTCAGAGTAAAGTAGTGAGAAACGAGAAAAACACTACCACAAACTCTTTGTCCACAATCCCCTTTCCCAGTCCTCTGGCCAGAAAGATTTTCTCCAGGATTTGGGGGCCTGTACCATGCTGCATGTGAAGCAGTTCCCAATGAGGCGGCACTGGGGGCTGGGGTACCTGACGGGGATTCCCCATTTTCATCCTCCGGCTCAGAAGGGCACCTTGTCCCACCGCTCTGGTCAGAAGAATGGGGTTTCTTCCCAAGATTTTGTTGTCAGCCCCTGCTTCCCAGTTCTGTGCTGGGGCCACTCTCAGGTTAAAGCCAGGTGATGAAAAAGGAAAATGGAAAAACAAGAAATGTACCCCCTAAGAAGTCAATCTTCATGTTTGGTACCCCTCCCCATCTTCTTGCCAGTATTAGATCTTCCAGAGTCTTCCAGTGGAAGGTTATGTCTACAGGAGTTAGTCGTTTGTAATCAGCAGGAGAGAAAAGCTGTATTTACTCCATCTTCACTAGAACCCGAAGTCCTATCCCTTACTTTTTTAATTGAAATTACTTTCGATTAAAATTATGGACTTTGTAATTTTCCAGCACCTAGTTTGTATTTTAGCCGAGGGTCCCTCATAGACAGACTGGCATAATGCTGGAAGCAGAAACCTCCCACTTTCCTTTTTAAGGACTCACAAGCCATCTTTCTATTTAATAATACATCTCAAACATTTCCAATCAACAATTTTAATTAAGCTGCTTCTCTATAGTTTCCCTAAGCTGAGTTTTTTTCACTTGAAAACGAATATTTACTGGGAAGCTACAATGTTGAAGCCCTGTAGTAAATGCTAGGAACATGGAAATAAACAAGACCAATGAGCCCCAGCGTGATCACAACTCAACAAGGGAAACAGACACTTAGAGGTAATTTCAAATGATGGGAGGGCGCCTGGGTGGCTCAGATGGTTAAGCGTCTGCCTTCAGCTCAGGTCATGATCCCAGAGTCCTGGGATCGGGTCCCGCATCAGGCTCCCTGCTCCTTGGGAGCCTGCTTCTCCCTCTGCCTCTCTCAAAAAAATCAAATGATGGGATAAGGTGTCACTGAGAGTGTTAGGGGACCCTGGGCTCAACAGTTCCAGCTGGGACTGGTCAGTCACAGAGTGCTCCAGAAAGGAGATGATAAATTAGTTAGCTCTTCAAAGATGAGCAGGATCCCACTGGAGGAAGGCTGTTCAAGATAAGGCAAGTAGATGAACACGGGCATAAAAATACAAATGCAAATGGTAAGACAGCCAGTATGCCTAGAGAGTGGAGGGCGATCAGAACCGGACATAAGATTTCTCATGTTTTGCTCTTCACCAAAAGAAGCATCTCTTTTTCCAGAGAGAAATTTACTCACTAAAAACCTACTGCAGGGGGACTCTGTGATGATCTTCCTGATATGGAAAACAAGCACAACATACATACACACGGATATAATCTTGGCAGCTCTGCTTTTCTTATGATGTTAACTCAGCTGGCTTTATTTTGTTACTTTTTCAAGTTCAATGAAAATCACATCTTTAAAGAATGGACTGGAACCCACGTCAATAGGTAAGACAGGAATCTTTCTGAAAAAAATGAAAATTATCAACTTATACTAGGAGGTGTTTTTAATAGTGTACTGTTGGACAAATACATTAATATTATTTTTTATCTCTTTTTAAATGAATTAGGACACCACAAGATGAATTAAAAACATGGAAAATCATCCATGAGCATTTCTTTAAATCTTGCTTATTCATCTTTTTATTACAAAAATTAAACAGTCCCACTAAAATGGTGCTATGGAAAGATTTTGCTATCTCTGTAGAATTCAGTAAGTGTATTTGTTTGCTAGGACTGCCATAACAAAGTATCACAACAGGGGCTTAAACAACAGTATTGTCTCTTGAACATCCTCTTGGTTGTATCCAGTGTTGTTTCTTGATGCCAGTATCCCAAGTTTCTGATTCTCTCTTCAGCCAATTCTAATGTGATGTTAAATATCCATTTAGATTTTAATTTTAATAATTTTATTTTTTATTTCTGGTTATATTTGATTATTTATATCACCAAAACTGAAGGTCTAGGTGGATTTTTTATTTGCCCATCTCTGTTTTCTAATCACTTCACAATAAACATGTACTTCCTTTATAAAAAAAAAAAAGTTGCTAAAGTTATTTTATCACCTTTCCCCCTTGACTTCCTATGTATTCCTTTCTGAGCCCACATGTCCCTGCTACCCCCCATCACTCCCAAACACAGATAAAGAGTCGGCAGTTCAGAAGAGAAACACTGGTTGAGAAATAAAAGCAAGGCAGTGCTCTTTTCTTTTCAATACCCAGAAGTCCTGTAATACTTAGTTTGGGGATGAAGAAGAAGAGCCCAGGACTGGAGTGAGGGCAGTGCTGATTCTGGCCCTGACAGCTGCATGGGGTAAATCACTTACGTCCCCCCTGGCACCCCAGTTTCTTCTTCTAGTCACAAGGAGCAAGTGCAATGCTCTGAGAACATTCCATATCTCTGAATTCCTCTGTGTAAACGCCCACATATGTCTTCTTCTCCCCACTCTACCTGCATTCCGCACAAAGCAGTTGCCTGATACACCTTATTGGCTTTCCCAGTGAATGACATCCTGACTGCCTGGCTGTGTTCTTGAATGAATGAACAGGGGCCACAGTATGACTTTTGTGAGTCTTAGGTACTTTTACCTTTGTGGACCCCAAAAATGGTTTAATTATATTACATTTTACAATCTAATTAGTATAAAGATGACTATATTAACATTTTTTCTACCTAAAAGTTTATCTTTTTTTCTTTTGATTTTAGAAGAATTTTCATGGGTCCTTGAAAGCATTGTGGGCCCTAGGCTCTGGACCGGCCTAGCTAATGGGGAAGTCATCCCTGCAGGAACTACTCAATGGATGCTTCCAAATCCTGAGAAGTTTCATAAGAGAGACTTTTGAGCAGCGCACCAATGCATTCCCCAGATTTTATGCCAAGCCAGTTACCTAGTTTTCTTCTCTAAGGACATGGGTGGAGTTTCCCTCATTCTGTCATTTCACATTAAAATAAAGCTGCTCCTGACTCCTGGGCTCCAGTAGCTCATATGGCATTTCTGTGCAAATTAGAAAACGACTTCTTATTTTTAAGAAGAAGGGGGAAAGCCATTAAAGTATTATATTATTGCACCATCTAAATAACTATCCCCACTGAGCCTGGGGAAAGTGCAAACTCAGGTGGGCATCCTTTCCAACCTCACTTGGGGGCCACAGTCGTGGCCTGCATGGCATAGTGGTGGGACAGTAACAGTAATCCATGGCATTCAGCTTAAAGCCATCCTAGGCATAGTTCCATAAACCAAATTTCATCCTAAGTCTGTGGCCAGAATGGCCAAATCTGAGTAGGACTCAGGCAAAGCCTCTAAAAGCAATGGGAGACCAGAGTCATGGCCTCCAGTTTCTCCTAGAGCAAAAAGTGGATAAGGCACAACCACATGAGTGTGCACACCACACGCTTTCCTGTGTGTGTGCATGGCCTTGCAGGCAAGTGTGGCTTAATATGAGCTAGAACTCTCATGTTGCCCCCTGGAAGGCCCCCCAAAAGGCCGGGAAGCTCCACCACATGCTCCTGTGTGTGTTAGTGTATGTCTACAACATGAATAACACCCTGTGCCGGGCACAGTCTGACCAGCTATACCCAGCAGCCACACCTAGCTCACTGAGTCCCCTCACTGACGGAAAGCCTGCACTTACACATAATAAAGCCTCCATCCATTCCCTTCTCTGCAGGGATGACATGCCAGGCTCGGAGCTCCTACATCACGAGTGAGATCCTGTGGGGTTACCGGTTCACACCTGTCCTGACGCTGGAAGACGGGTTTTATGAGGTCGACTACAACAGTTTCCACGAGACCTATGAGACCAGCACCCCATCTCTCAGTGCCAAAGAGCTGGCTGAGCTAGCCAGTAGGGCAGAGCTGCCCCTGAGTTGGTCTGTGTCCAGCAAACTCAACCAACATGCAGAACTGGAGACTGAAGAAGAAGAAAAGAACCTCGAGGAACAAACAGAAAGGAATGGTGATGTGGCAAACCTAGAGAACGAATCCAAAGTTTAGTCTCCTAGCTGGGTAGCTCCTTCTCCTCTCCCCTCACACAACCTTTTCTTGTCTTTCATTCTCTTTCTTTTTTGTCTCTCTTACTTGGTTGTTTATTTATTTATATTTAATTTTGACATTACCAGAAAACAAATCTTCAAGGTGTAAAATATCTACCTGCCCTCTCTCAGTTACTCAGATTGACAAGGTAGACACGGATTTGGTTAAGGTGCAACGTGCCCTCATTTGTGGCCCAAGCTTGCTCTCTTTCCTAAATACCACACATCCAACTCCTAGGGATTTAAGCTGCTTACCTGCATGTCTTGTACAATACCAGATCACTCAAAGAGTGTGTCAAAGATTTTACCTGGGATATGACAAGTTAGGTCTCTGGTGCCTATTTATTCATGCAGTGAGACATAGCATATAACCCTCAATTTTATAGATTCAAATAAATTTCATCTACAGGGTGAGGTGCTTGCCCCATACAGGCATTGCAGTTCTAGGACCCAGGTCAGGTAAAGACAAAACACTGTACATATATATGCCTTATGTAATTACTTTCTTTTTGCAGTTAGTAATAAAACCCAGCATGTACAAAAGTACTATAGAACAGAACTTCTAAATAATGTACATAAATGTATAATTAGTGTAGGTTTAGATATATAACTTTAGAAATAAGATGCAAAAAAAAAAAAGATTCCCAATGTACAGTAGGTATTTCTGTTCTGATGTCTTTGCTTTCTTAATTTCTTTGGTCCCATTGACCACTGGCCCTTAGTGCATGGCCTTTGTTCCATATCCCAAACTGGTAGTGTTTGGGTACCCCACTGTTACCTTGCTGATCTTTTCATTGAATCTAAGAAGCCATAGGTCTGGGGGAAGTTAGGAGGTCTAGTACATGGCAAAACCCACCACCAATATGCTGATATACTACGAAATGTTTACAAAACTGAGGTCTCTTTTTTTAGTAACAGAAGCCTCACTGACTAGCTTGGGGGAATATTCCAGGGGAAGGACACTATCTGGCATGTCACCAATGATGTGTTTATGCTTTTCACATGAGCTGTCACCCTTTGTAGTACAAGAGTTTGGGAAACTCTTCTTCTACAAAACCATGGATTCTCCAGCTGTTCCACTCTGTAATCGTAAGAAACTACAGACTTAAAAAATGAGACATGGTAATTTAGCAGAAGATCGTTTCAGTCTAAAGCCATGACATTGATGAAGGCACGTAGTAGGAGACATATATTGTCATCATTCACCTAACACACTTTGACTCCATCTGACTCTCTTCCTGTCCCCACCAGCTTATCCATCAGCATTTCTCGCATTTGTATTTATTATTATTCGTATTCTTTTATTATTATGAAATGATGAGAGTTCAATAGTCAGAGATTAGATCAACAATCTAGGTGACTATGAAATCTTTCTAGAGAGTGCCACAGGTGGGAAATCAAATCCAAAGTGTCTCCCAATCAGAAGAAAACGAGCAAAAAACTACAGCCTTAATTCATTTTAATCTGCAAAGATAAATGGAGAGAGATTAAGAGAAAGAGAAGGAAGGCATTTTGTACTAAAACTCTAAATTCAAGATGAAAAAAATTCAAATAAAAAGATAAATGGAAGAGAATGTCAGACAAAATCTCAAGGGCAGGTGGAAATTTTGCACTGTAACAGATCTTTCACATTAATTTCACAATTTTAAACTATTTGTTCCCTACAACAGTCGCCCATCATAAATATTCATTGACCGAACTCAAGTTCCTTTTCAGCTCCTATGGCTGTGCTCAGTTTGAGGCTTTGTGCCATGGAGGTCAAAGAACTCAAACTAGCTATCACTCACTCCCTGTTGCCCTTGACTTCCCTGACCAGATTGCACAGGCCTTCGCTGTAGTTTGGGGACCTTGTCTACTAAAAAGCATGTCCCAGAGATAAGGAATGTGGCTTCTCAGTTTAACACGGGGGTCTCCTCCCATCTCTGAGACCTAGCATCAGGATACCTGCTTCTTGGCACTTGGACTTAACTGGAAACAAAACTGTTGGCCATAGCCCTTTCCTGTTTGCCAACATCTCATGTTTTGCATTGAATATCTGTTGAATCATTTATTCATTCCACAAAATCCAAGGAGGAGGTTGTAGTCGAGGAGAAGGAGAGAGCCCCATACACTTCCTGCCAGGCTGTGGGGAGGTACTGTGGCCTTACCTCGCTGTAGCCTTATGAAAGGCGCCCTTGACTTGGGGGCGCTAACCCTGCAGCATCCCCAGGGTTGCAGGGCAAGGCATGGTAGCACAAAGAAAGATGAAGCATGGGCTGCAAAAAGTCTGCTAATTTAGCTCTTGATGACTCAGTGGGCCTTTTTTAATCCATACTAAGGCTCAAAGGACAACACACATCCTGTTGTCTGGTTGGAAGAGCAGTTCAGGGCCCTCTAGCACAACTGAACAAAGAGCCTTGACAACCCTTTGGTCATGCACACATGTTAGGTCTCTATCTGTGCCAGGGCACCCGGGGGTGAGGTCTCTCCCTATTTCTCATTGTCTTTGGTGTCAATGTAGTTGGAGACAGAACATGAACCAAATCTCGTTTTTGTAATGTGAGCCTCTGAATCTTTAAACAAGGATGCTCCAGAAGAACCTTTTACTAGAATGTCCCTATCAAACATGTCTATTTTTCTACAGTTATTGATAACACAGTTTAACAGTGTATTTTGTGTCAACTGTTAAAATTTGGAATTGGAAGAAGCTCATTAAGACTGAATTTTCTAAGCAGCAAGAATTGAATGATGTTTTTCATTAAGACTGTACAACAAAGATGAGCCCACAATTTCTACTCATTCTATTCCATCATATCTAGTCCCCATTCACACAGTCACTTTGTTAGGAAATCAAGTGCTATGAAAATAAATAAGCCTATTTTAATGCAACAATACCCATAACTAATGAGGATCACCCTCAACTTGATATTTTGGTCTGTTAGTTTGGTGTGTTTGAGTCACTTTCCATAAAAGCATGGTGGGATCTGATAGCCAGATAAGAATTTTGAACCAACGGGTTACAGTTTGCCACAGTTGACCCCAATCTGGAGAAAAGGGCAGACTCAGCTGGAAGCATGACCTCCCCAAAGGCCGCTGAGACCCTTAGATTCTCACTTCCACTCACCCCAATATGCTTTCCAACTGGAAAACCTATTTGTTTATAAGTCAACTTTATGTAACTAATAAAACTGTTTATGTTTTTGGCTGTCCCCTGGGCAAATGATACTCTTTTAAATTAATGTATTTCTAATCACTGTAATGCCAGGTCATTGCTTATCCACTCCCTCATAACATGGCATTCCAGCCTATTGATCCAACAGATAGCCACTCCATGTCCATGAGAAGGAACTCCCTCTTCCCCCACTCCCTTCCTCTGTCTGTCTCTCTATTTTGTGCTATCTCTAGTTCCCCAGAGCCAGGTCCATTGACTTAGTTCAATATCTATGTTCCCTAACAAAAATCCAGCTATTGTCTCTAAAAATGTCAACAAAGTTCTTAAGCACAATTTTCTCTTGCAGGTTTAACCAAATTAGGGCTCTGAAATGTCCATTTCTCATTGTACTTGGATTAAAAAATTATTTATGACTTCATTCAAAAGCCTAAATTTTGAAGTCTCCAGAGCAACATCCTTATGCTTTCCCTCCCTACATTTTCTTACATTTCAGGTTTCTTACTTTTTCCCCTTTGCTTTTTAATTTAGATTTAGGCCAATATCTTTGGGATGTTCAGAAACTGTTCAGAAAGGCAGGAGCTGGTGGAGAGAGAAATTATAAAAATGCCATTAGAAAACTACTTGAATTCACCCAAAGAATGTGAAATCATTTCATTAGCTGAGTAATTCAAGATAAAAAGAATCAAAATATTCATAGTCATTTCCAAGATAGTTTGCCAATAGTCTGACTAGTTTTCAGTCTTTCTTTCCTTGACTTGGGTAATACTCTATGTGACTCAGAAAAGTCAAAAGGGTAGTTGGAAATTAAACACCCTACATAAGTGGGAAACAGTATCCTCTATGATTTCCTTTCAATGGATGGCTATAACGTTGAAAAATATAGTCAGTATATACATAATAGATGATTCATTGATATTGTATTACAATATAGTAAAATCATATAATCCTGTTTCTAGACTTTATGGTCAACCTGTTTAAGAAAATGTAATCCTTTCATTTAAAATGGAGTAAAACACAACTCTTCCTAATATTTCTGCCCTTGATGTCTCGGAGAATTTCTGATACAGTGTCATCTAGAAGTCAAAAGCTCTGTAAGGCTACAAAGAGATTTTGACAAAGCACAATATCAATACATAATACATTAACAAAACAATATTCCTAAGTTGTCTACATTGTGCTGTATTTGGGAACATTCAGAGCACTTGCATAAATTATGTCATTTAATTCCAATCCACCATGAGAGCTTGAGTGTTATAATATAAAAAGAAAACTAGGGGGTTTGGGCAAACTGAGTAACTTCCCCAAGGTTACAAGTCTAGTAATAATAGATCCCAGTCTCAAATCCAGGGGCCAAGTCTTAAGCCATGGTCTCTATTTACTACAGAAAGTGTCAGCAAACCGAATCTACTCACAGACTCCGGCCCACTGCCTGTTTTTGCACCACTTGTGAGCAAAGAATGACTTTTACATTTTTAAGAAGTTGGGGGAAAAAGACAAAAGGATATTTTCTGACATGTGAGAATTGTATGAAATTCCAATTCCAGTGTCCATAAATAAAATTTTATTGGAATACAGCCACACCCATTCATTTGTGTATTGCCTATGACCGCTTTCACACTACACTAACAGAGTTGAGTATTTAAGACAGAGACCATATGGCCAGAAGACTGAAATATTACTATCTGACCCTTTACAGGAAAAGTTTGCCGACCCCTATACTGTACTATTAAGTACTGTTCATGTATTAAGTACTACTAATTACTAAATGTTATACTGTGCTACCAAGAGATTCCTGGACAACTTAGAATGAT